CTTCCTTGCCACCGACTCGCCTAAGAAAATAATCAGTCGTTTCCCCACGTCGTGTCATTTTAAACTGAGACGATCGCAGATTTTGGCAAAAAAAGAGAACAAACTGACTGACCAGGCTTTGCACACAGATTTCACCCGCCATCGTGAAGCCGTGTGAGAAGGGTAAGCCGACGTCCAGACGACTAAAGCAGTGTCTGCTGACGTGTGTCAGACAAGAGGCAGCGTCTATTTGTATATATTTAGTTTGCACTCTGTCAGAGCTGCATCCAAAGCGTCACGGTTATGAGTAGTGGCCTGCGAGCTAGTGAATAATGGGTATTGCCACGGTAACGTATGGGCCATGTGTTATAATGAGTATTCACAAACACATTAGCACACTCCCACACGTCACTGATCAACCACCGTTTCTCCCTGAGATCCCTGTTTCCTTCTGCCTCGCAATCTTCCCCACCTCCTTCTATCCTTTCAATCTTTGCTCTGATTTTTCAACCTCTACACGTTTCTTTCAGAATATTTTCTCATCTCAAAACACAGATTCTTTAGAATTCTTAGACAGAAAAAGAGAAGGGCAGCTGTAGTTGAATAAAAAAAAAAATTAACCCGTAATTATGGTAAATTAAAAGTTTTATGATGTCGTGCATGTGTGTCAGTGGAAGGGGGGGCTGTTGGTGGGGGCCTCTGTGACAAGGCTGGCTGGGAGCATAGAGCTGAGGGTTAGTGCCAGACATGTCTCAAGAGAAACCGGGGCACATTTGCAATCACCCCGAGTTCAAAAGGGTAATTTATTCACAGTCTGTGGTTAAAGTAGGGCTGCTCAGAATGCCAGTGGGATCGTGCCGGGAAGCAGAGCAGTAGAGACACATTATTTTCATTTTTTCTCTCCTCTCCTTGTTTTTTTCTCTCTCTCTCTACCTCTCTTGTTTTTTCCCTCATCGTTCTCTTCATTGCCTGTTGTTGTCTCTGCGAGCCCTGTGTGGCGTCTTTTAACACACGCCGGCGAGCATATTTCACTTTTACACTCATCCGCATTGACGTCCCGGCGCTGATTGAATTTTGAGGCGCTGCGGCGTCTACCATTATCATCCTCATCGTCTTGAGTGGTTTATCTCTGGCCCCGGCTCAGTGTGACGCCAAGGCTGCAGGGGAGAGGAGGAGCAGGGCAGGGGTGGGCTGGGGGTTGAAGACGGCTCTTGCGTTTTTATTATTTGTGTGGTAAAAAAAAATAGGAAGGAATGGCCGTAACCCGGGTCTTTAAAATCGTGGTTGGAGGTTTATGTTGTATGTGTGCATGCATGTGTCCTTGCAGAGGAAAGAATCGCCTTTTTATGCTCAGCTTTAGTCCGACTGGTTTGATTATGATGACCCGTTGTAGCAGTGCCGTCTTTCTACCACCTCGTCTCAATCAGATGTCGACATGATTTCACCATTAACTGCACCTGCCAGGTTCAGTTAGGATCACAGGGTGTCATGGCTGCCCAGAGACCTCACATTGTCTCGCCAGAATCAGCAGAGAATTATTCCACCACATGTCACTTTTACTGTGTTGTTATCACTGAAAGCCACCGGCAGACACTTAGAATACATTGCCTACTGTGGTGTGGTGGGGTTAATTTGAGGTCTGGAGAAATTTCTTCCTCCTCCCTCTGTCAGTTCAATACTCAGTCGTGTGCATTCATTGCCAGAGCGGGAAATTGTCTTTCCCTTGGTGTGCCGTTGTAGCAAGGTTGTTTTGTATGCTCTGCTGCAGAGGCAGCGGTGTTGACACGAGACTGAGCTGCTGCCACGACGTCTTGATTTGAGGTGAAACCTCGGTGTTGCTCCTGTGTCTCCTGTGTAACACTATCAACCCTTACTTTCTCCCCACCTCCCCTCCCCCTTTATCCTCCTCTGTCTATGTTGTTTCTGATTCCTCGCGTCTTTCCTCGCTCACTCTCCCTAGCGGTTGATGGAGTGATTTTGAAGGCGCATGCAGGTGGGGGTGTAGACAACGTGGAGCTGTGCTAATTGAGCCTTCTTTGTGCCTGGTCACTGCAGTGTGCCGAGGCCTGGGAGTGAATCCAAGCAGCACTCAAGAGCTCCGCTGGATCGATAACGCTGGAATTTAACAAAACAGAGACATGCCAAGTGCCCAGATCGGGGTCATTATTGTCTCTGGCGAGCCGCACTTCCACCGGGGACTGATCAATGTGAGAATATGGATCAAGATAAACATACTCATCTCCTCTTTCTCTCCTCTTTGCCTCTTAGAGCATCACATTGTACAGAGGGAGAACACAGCAAAAGACTGACAGTGCCTCTGTCAATGCACAATATGCAGTCTATACATTCTCCTCACTGTGCCTTCAAATGAAGATTTTTCACATTCCCTTCACAGACATGTCAATATTTTCTGCAGAAAGTTCTCTTCAATTATTGCCTTTATTAAGGAATGTGTTTGCTGAGACAAATTTGCTTTGTAGTCCCTCAGAATTTGTGTCTTTAGCTCATTACTTCATGTTTTGTTTTTCATGTCTTCATGTTTTTTTCAGTCTGCAGAAATATCATGGGTCTTGGATTTACCTATATTATTTGATTATTGTACAATGTTTATCAATATTTATCGTGGAATTGGAGATTCTTCTTCTTTTCACTCAGTGTCCATTTGGTCGTTCACAAAGCTTTTATCCACATTTTCCAACAAACAACCACTGACGCTGCTGGAAATATATTATAAATAAATATTAAATTATTTGTTGCTTACTGTTAAATCACAGACAGTGTGGTTGATCTCTTAAATATGACATGGTTTATAGAGTAAAAGCAGATATTCTCGTTTGAAAATCTTATGAGTCATTTAAATTGAAATTGTTAAAAAGCCAGAGTACCTCAAACTTTCACTGGTGAGAAGAATGTTAAAATGACTAATAACATCCTATGTCACAATGTAAAAAAACTCTTTGTCTGGATCTGCACCAAAAATGAATGGGTTCTTTCATGGCCCACATCAAATCCTTGAACCAAGTTTAGTGGAAATCCGTCCAGTAGTTGTGTAGTAATCAGGCTGACGAACCAACCAACCAACTAATCAACCAATCATCCAACCAATCAATCAACGAATCAACCAAACAACCAACCAATCAACCAAATAACCAACCATACAAACAAACTGACAGGCCACATAACCTTCCCAGCAGATGTTGATATATAAGTGGTCAATTTGCCAAAGAAGTCCACATCATCCATGTAAAGCTCAGTGTGGTTTTTAGTCTGGTGACTCAGAGGTAAACAATAGTTAAAGAGAGATCAGCACAAAGTGAAGCGACTGTGCTTAAGATCACAGCAAACTCATTAGACCTGATCATTAGAACAGATTTTCTCCCCAGTGTTTTCTGGTGGCTCAGACGATAAGAAACCTGCCAATGTACCAACACACCTTTGCTTCACGCCACTCACGCATCCTGTCTTTCTCTTCTACAAATAAAAAGCAGAAATAATTGCTTCCAAAAAATGTAAATTAATGGAGCTAGGGTGACATAACAAGGGGGCAGGCATCCGCTCATTGTAATTAGGCCAAAAAGATCAGATTACATGAGAGCATCTTGACTTTCCAAAACATGATGGTGTTTCAGTTCATCCATGCTTTTAAATAGGTGGTGATGGTGTCCTGGTGTTGTGGGTCCCTCCATCACTCACTTGGATAAAGATAATTGCTTAATGTGGTGTGAAAAAATGTTTAATGGTTGATAAATGCATAGGAAAGAACATTTGCATCCAAAATGAGTGTGATGCTGTGGTATTAGCTGTCAAAGGGCTGCTGACTGTTACAGACTTAGTTTAGGCTCAAAACCATCGGAGTAAACCAACAGAAAAAACCCTTTAATTTCAAAAAGGAAATGAAGCCAAATTATCTTGACTGCCCCCTAGTGACTGGCTGCTGTACAGCCCATAACCAGTTGCTCCTCCATGTTGTTTAAAAACCAAAGTACATGGCGAATCATTTTTTCTCAAAAATGATTTCTGTCATTTAAGGTAGTTCTTATCACGTGTGTTCAAGTCTTATTTTTTCCATTAAGTTGGGTTTTAATGAGTTATTTGATGCAAGAAAACACAAGGTGAAATGTCATGATTCTGATTGATTGGTTGAGCGTGCGATACTCGATATGGAATGATTCATTTACACATCAGGACTTTGTAAATCATGATATGCTCCTGTTGTCACTATGTGATCCCGCGAAGAGTCGGTGTATGTTAATACTGAATCACTTCTCAGCCTTATGGTGCACAGTATATACTTTATACATGCAGCCCATAAACTGCACATGTCTGAGTGAAGGAGCCCTGCTCTCATTACCATGCCTTTAAGGAGCCACTGATGACACTTGGTATTAAAATGTCAAATTGCCCTCCACTCAGACTAAAGTGATTTTAGTTGTGATTATGCACCCCCTCTCATGCACGCACACGCCCACCACCACCATCAACAGCAAGGAAAAAAGAAAAATCAAAAACTGTGCTAATTGGTCATGGAGATTGGTGGGAGACTTCAGTATTTTATGTCTCTGACTTCCAAATGAGTTTGGGGAAGGAGACACTGTCATTCTGGCGTGGAGGTTTTGGGGAGGAAGAGGAGGGGCCGCTGCTGGCGCGGGCTCAAATTGAAATGATGCACTGTTCCCCCTCACTGCTGCTGGAGCTGCAGTAATTAAATGCCTCATTGTTGCTTCTTGGGAATTTGTATTGAATATTTCATCCAGCGTAATGATTATTTGGGTGTGGGTGGGACGTGGATGTAATCACCTTGGCTGGCTCTTTGATGAAATACTTGGTTTGGTGGTTGTGCTTTATAGCTGCTTTGAGTGCCCTTCTGGGTTTATACTTAAGCCTGTGCTATTTGAAACTGCTGTTGTCGACCAACATCATGTGAATGTGACTGTATATGTGTGTGTATATCTGTGACATGATAATGATGTGGCCTCTTACCCTCAAATTCAAATGTGTCCTTCACATTTTGTCTCCCGCAGAGGACGCCGGTCAACACTGGCGAAGCTTTCCGGTGGTTCTTTTAGAGAGGTGAGCCACAGCCGCCCCATCCAGCAGCACGAGGGCAGGTGGGACTCTTGACTCTCTGCCAGGAGCAGTGGATAGGTTCACAGAACCCAACATGCTCGGCACATTCGGAGGGACGAGAGAGGAAAAAGGGGACAGACGAAAAGATAAATGAAAACATAATGGTGTTGTTTTAACTCTGTAATTTCCTTTTCTGTGTAATTATTGTACCTTTTGACAGTATCATAATGTATATTTTCGGTGTCTATGAATGTGTTTTCAGTGTTGTGGCTGTAGGTTCACAGCCAATCCTATGTAAAGGACTCAAAACAGACAATCATACAATCATGCTGAATCCGTCAAACAGAAGAGGCCACAAGGATTGATAATACAACAAAACACAACACACCTACTCTGGAGCAATAATCGAATCTGTTGATTACTCTTCAACCTTTCATTTCTGTTGACTCTTTGATTACTTTTCTTTTTTTTATCAAATGAAATCATCCTCTGGTTTTGTTTCCTATTCCATCTGAAAGCCATGTATTGAAATGCCTCGCCGGCAGTGTGACGTGACCTGCTGAGAGCAACAGACATGGAGAATGGCAGCAGTGCGTCTGTGATGGGCTTGTTGACTTGCTTCCTCGTGACTCACCTGAGTGGACTCACTGCAGAACAGGGCACATTGTCTTGTGTGGGGAGTTGCACCACTTTGAAATCTAAACGTCATTTGGTTGTGACTGCAACCTGAAGGTCGTATTTTTCGAAAATGGTCGGAGTACATGTTTTTAACAAATCTACTTTAGTCATCAAACCTTTTTGTTTTGTTCAGTTTGGATCACTAAAGCTTGTTAACTGTCTAAAAGGTAGGGAGTAATGCCAGTAAAGGAACTGTAGGTCATTTTGAACACATTCAAATTTAGAATCAATGCCAGAATACGACAGTTCTTTCTCCTACAACAGTAATGTTAAAACATTCCAAAACAAAAATTATTCAATAAGTTACTCATTGTCTTAAACCCTATTGTTGCATGTGTAAATGTGTTTTGGTTTTAAAGATTACTAAGAATTTGTATATTGTTGTTGTGATGCTTTTATGTGTTAAAATAAAAAAAAGACTTCAGTAAAAGACATCTTGACAGAGAATGTTTGATTTGCAAGAATCAATGAAGACAGAGAGAAAAATAAAACAGTTTAATAAAAAAAAAGAAAAATTATCAACGATCAGTTATGATTGCCTGACAAACATTCAATGTTTTTTTGCCCTTCCTGCAAAGCATCAACAGAAATAACAACCGGGAGGAGATGGCAGGAATATAAGAGCATTGGTTGCCTCCCCAGTCACGTATTCCCTAGAATACTAAAATGTTGCATGGAGAAGAGTGGTTCCCAGAGGCAGCAGACTTTAAAGGACTTGTGAAATCCCATGTGGTTTGTCATGCTGGAATGAACGGGGGTGTGGGTGGGTGGGTGAGGGTGGTGGTGAACTGAGACAGGCTCCTGAGATAGCTTCAGTAACGGAGCGATTGCCAGGTCTTTGGGTTTCAGGGGTTGGGATGTGTGTGTGTGTGTTGGGGGGGGGGGGCAGCAGAAAGGGAACACAGACGCATATTTTGGTCTGTAGCTGAGGTGGTGAGGGGGGGTGTCACTGCTGAGGAGAACGAGCAGAGAAGGAGGAAATCATCCGGGACCGACTTCTCCCCTGACTGAGCACGCTCACCATCACCCGAATTGAGCTGCTGACTATTCAGGGCCAGCCAGGAGGAGGACTTGAAGTGCTCTGCAGCAGCAGCAGCAGCGGCAGCGGCTACAGTGTTGGCGGCAATGCGGCGTCTGGGGCGCCCAATCCCCCCTCACTGGTCATCAGAGGTTGATAACGTGCATCAGGGGTGCGCTGGCTTGCTCCCTCCCTGGCTGGTGAGATTAAATAACATCAGAGACAGCTCTCTCTAATCCTCCCCCCACCACCACCTCCCACTCTGCGCTCTGGAACTGGGATTTAAAGATCTCAGGCCCCAGTGGTAATGTTCACTTTTCTGCTTCAGACAGGCAGAGGCAGAGGAAGCAGGGGCACGTTCGCAAGTTAACAGGATGGTGGGAATTCTGTGACCTCGGTCGACATGAGGAAATTCACTCTTTAGACTGTAGGAGCTTCTTAGAACTAATATTCTAGCTGTATGATATTAGACGAACTCTTACAGGAACTGTCAATGTGGGAACATTTGCTTGTTTTCTTTTCTGCGTTAAATAAGTTAAATGAGAAGATCAATGCCCTCAGCCGTATATCTCTGCACTTAGCAGACACTGAACAGATTTTCTCCGTCTGTATGTGTGAACGCAAATTGTCCCAGTGACAGCCTCCAGAGTTTCTGCAGACTTTCTCTATCTTGCCCACCGAGTGTAAAGTCCGTAGAAATTCCAGAGGAGTCGATGTGAGCAAATACCGCCACATCTAAAAGTGGAGCCATACACGAAGAAGACACCATTGAAGATGTCAAGATGTCAAGGATCGATGCCAGTGTCGATGTGCTTGTAAACAGAAACATGTGAACTCCACAGCACAATTTATAAATAACATTCTTCCCCTGCCTGCTGCTCCACCCCTCACCCGAACACTCCAGAGATTTCTGTGTCGTTGACCAGAGAATCTCCTGCTGCGTTGATCATGTGTGAAAGGCAACCTCCGCAGAGAGTCCACACCAGATTCTCCACAGTTCCTCCAGAAGTCGTATCTGGAAACAGCTTACGATAACCTGGTGTGTCGAGACTTAATTACAGCACCTTGGTGTTTCATATTTATTATAAGCCTTTTAATACTGTTCTGCTTCTGTTATCACATTAATCTTTTCCTCTCTGCTAATCAAGGTGTAGGGTTCTAAGTGTGGAGGCAGGAATTCTGGATTGTCACTGGAGGGTGTCGTTGTCAGTTAATCATAAATATTTTGAAGATTACCAAGATTCTGCAGCTCTGCTTGTCCATGTATAAAAGTTGCAGCATGCCACTGAGCCATGGTAACAAAGGCATCAGTTCTGCTGAAGAAATTCTCATGTTTAAGTAACATTTTAACTGAGAACCTCTCTACATAAAAACTGGAAGAAGATGGTTTGATGCTTTGGTGGTTTTAGACATGAAGACTTTTCCTTTAACATAAGTGGAACACAGCAGGACATTGTTGGAGTCAGACACTTTCACAACAACAGGATCATTTCTGGAACATTCAGATGAGGGGGGGTGTCTGGGTAAAGCACGAGGAAGGAAGTGACGTATGTTTTTGTTCGCAGCACATTGACACCGGTGTTGGCTCTTAACGTCAAAAGCTCTTGAATCTTGTTATATTTCCAAGTTGACATTTTCTTGTATATCTCCTCTTTTAAATCCTGAGATATATATGTTCTTTTTGTTTTTCGCTTTTGCTTCCCTCGTGTGTCATCATCAACATGGCCACACTAACGTTTTCCCACTCTCTTCTCACATGGGCTCAGTCGGACATTGTCTGGAAATTGTACAAGGGGGCTGACACAGAAAGTTGACATGGACATTTGCATTTGCCCCACTTCCAGAAAATTCCAGGAAAATGTCCAGACTTCAGTGCACCTCTGAAAGTAACGTTTAAAAATTAAAAAAGCCAGGTAATGAAAGCGAAGCGTTATCCAGCCCTGACTGGAAGAAAAAATTACGGAAAAAGGCATCAAGGTTTTGTTGCTCCAAAATACAAAAGACAGACAATGGGTCACTTCATGCGGCACGAGGGGAAACACATCGAAGAACTAGCAAGCGTTCCAGCAGCTGACCGGGGGAAAGGGTCTGGTATAAACACTGGCGAGCATTAGGGAAATGAGGAGCAGGTGTGTGGGCAGGCGGGGGAAGTTCCAGCGACTGGAAATGGAAAACAGGTGAGCAGGTGGATCTGGAAACAGGAAGAAAAGCCCGGGGATATCTGCTGGGCAGTTGGATTATGACAAGAGGCCAATAAACGGGGCTGAGAGAGAAATGGTGACAGTTTGAAATGTCACATTACTAAGATCCTGTTGTGTATGTGAGTTTTCTCTTGTTTATCTGAAGTTACGTTACTGCAGCAGGACCTGAAAGCATCACGTGCGGCTGTTTCAGATGTTATTGTCCTAACAGGAGACAATCAGTCCCTCACTCTTGACAAGCATCGCAAGGTAAATAAGCACCTTTGAGCACCGAGGAAAAAACAGATGTCTCGAAGGAAGAGAAAACTGTCTGGTTTGTATTCATTGACTGTACCTTAAAGGATCATGGATCTCAGAATGTGGCCACATCAATACGTTACACTTGGACACTCGGAGAAATAAGACGTATCATACTTTTTAATTATTTACTCTGATTTGGTTCCCCGTGCCATTTAAAATGTCAGTGCCACTTTCTGGGATGCTTTCAAGGAGAGCTGGAACAATGTGGATTGCGGAATTCTTCCAGAAAATAATGCCAAACCTCTTAGTGACCTGCATCAGGGAGAATATGATGTAATCCTGTTTTAGAAATAAGATTCCTACTAGCTTTCAATACTGTTTAAATATGATTTTATAGCAGTGAACTCAATTTGAACCCAACTGTACACACCTCTCAGTGAAATATGCCGTGTTTGCAGTTGGTTAAGTCACTTTATGGATGACTATAGCAAATACTGCAGCATTTCTGGAGATGAAATCATTTGATTAATTTAAAAAAAGCAGAAATTACTTTTTAGACAAACTAATTACTCGGTCCATATGTCACCACAGGACTGCAGCGTGGGGAATTCTTTCACGAGCGAGGCGGCTTTTAAGCTTCATCTGCAGATCCCTTCTAAAAAACAGAGGGCGCTGTCACACCTAACCTGTTTGGTGCTGCATGTCCCTCTGACTTTCAGTTTAGTCTATACCAAAATAACAGGTTTGAAAGGTGCCTCTGACCAACAGACCAAAGTTTAGTTCAAATTAAAAGAGGTGGTCTTTGTCCTTCGTCACACTGAACCATGGTTTGAATCATTTGCAGTATGATACCATATAAATAGTTCTGACTTTTGGACCGATTGCAGGAAGTTGTAATAGTAGAAGAAGATAAGGAAATTCTCTGCATTCTAACAGAAAGACCACGACCTGCCAAACTGACGTCAGACACACACACGTGGACAAACCATTGTAATAACAATGTGAAACCAAAACTAACCAGACTTCCAGGAGTGAAAACGTCCTCAGAGTGGCTGAAGGAGCAGCTGTCACTCAGATAAATACTAAGATGAGCGCAGGTCCCTGTGATGCCAGTCAGTCCACTGTGTGCCAGGGGTTAGTGGGCCAATCAGATGTGCTTACCCTCTCTGTGTCCTCCACAGAAATGCAGAACTTCTGTGATAATCCCTACTGGGATTTTCACTGAGGAAGATGCTCCCTCACTCTGCTGACATTCTGAGCAGAGGAGAAATCCACACACCTCCCTGGGAAGAGCTGCTCAGGAAGGACGTGTATAACACAATGCTGAAGGAATATTGAATAATAGAGGTTAAATGTTGTCTAATGAGCAGGTATCTTATATTAAAACAAAATGAATGTATGTTATGTTCTAATTTCAAGGTTAAAACCATCCTAAAAAATGGTTTATTCCATTTTAAATACCCGTTTATTAAGTAATTTTCCCCTTTTTAATAGTGATGAACTACAGATTTCTACATATGTTGCACATACAGTACCCCACTGTACTTATATTTCATTACACAACGCACAAAACATTTTCCCACATTGAATCACTCGCGCTCACACAGAGGACAGAGAAAGAGGCAGAGAGGGAGCGACACATAGAGCCTCCCCCCTCCCCTCACTCCCCTACCTTGTCTTTCATTATTTATTTACTGTCTGCAGTTTTTCCATCGCACGCATATTGATGCAGAGAAAGCAGGGTGTGAGTGCGTGTCAGAATCATTTCCTGACGAGGGAGACAAGGTGGAAGTAATCAGCAGAGCGCTGATGCAATATGACAGCATCTAGAACCGCTGGTACACAGTTAAGAGCAGGAGGGAGAAGA